TTATAGTTTATCTATTTTTCTGTATCTAATACCGATACATTTTGCACCCCCGTGTCACCCCTCCCTCTGAAATGATATTGAAAAGACTTTAACGCTTGCAAATTTTCTTCGAGTTGCTTTTAAAATCATTCAATGCGAGCTATTCTATCGCGACAAATTCTATCATTGGAGAAATTTAACTTCATCTGCTTCTTAAACAAAACACACCTCCAAACTTCACAATTTAAGCTTTTCATCAAATCAAAATAATAATAATAAATAATAATAAGTAGTAAGGAATGATATGGATGTAATACTGTATCTTCCTTTATTTACTCTGATTTCTTTCTGTATTACTGCGTTGTATACGCCAAACACAATATAAATAGCGGTTACAATTTTCAGTAAGATGTAGCCACTTCTTGTCAGCTTTAGTCATTTTAAAAGAACAATGTTGTCGTTGGCGGCGGAAGTGGTAACGGCCCATACGAAGCGGCTCTCCCTTCGCTAGCATCCTCACAACTGTTTACATATCTAGGTATTTCCTATGGATTTAGATGAATATAATGTTCCGAGATGTTCGGAGACTGCACTTGTGCTCGCTTCCTTTAGGAATCGATTTTATTAAGTTGTGTGTCAAGTTTAGTTTCTATATCTACGACAATACTGAATAAATTAATGAATACAGCACCTGATAATCGAAATAAACATATTTTTTACGAGAGGCAATCACGAGAAGTAGAGTTTTCATGTGACTTTAATGCAGATATGGTTGCTGAGTCGGTCACGACGACGACGGTTTAATTTTTCATCACACTTACCAGCTCGTGTGCGGCCTCGCGCATTGCACTGCCCACTGCCCACTGTCCCTCGGCACCCGGCGACCGGCATGCGTCCTCCGGCACCCGGCTCTCGACACTCGACACTCGGCTCCCGGCCGCCGGCAGTCCTGAGAAATAAAAATAACTTGATTTAGGAAATCCATGATAGCGTATAGCTAATTAATTTCTCGAAACTAAATAACTATTATTAGAATAGTCGATAAAATAATAATGTCATTTATTAAAGTAATTGTCCTAAAAGTAAATATTTTTCATTTCCTTAAACGAAGGCGTCAACGAATCGAGTCAGTCTATTTGTGGAGCTACAAATGTAAAACATCAACGGGCCTAGTGAATATCACTTAGTTAACTGTTATAGACACGAGTAACTTATTTTTGAATGAACGGCGACCTTCAATTGTAATTATAAAGAGCGGCTGCGACACTCCGGGGATCGGTCTCTGGGTAAAGTGGTGTAAATGTGAGGCGGAGAGCGAGGTAAACGTTATAAAGCCTACTGTTGTGTCCTACTACAGCGCCGGCGGGGAAGACTATCCGTCCTCCGCGCGCCCTCACACCGCTCCCGACTAGTTGCAATCCAAGCCGCCACACTGCATCCCATAATTATATTACCTTAATTGACCTTGTAAACATTTTATAATATACGATTTAGACCACACCTTTACACGTACACTTCTACTCAGTGGCAAAAGAAGCGGCGGCGCGGTCTCCGAATTCACCGCAAGTTATTAGGGTCTGCTCTGCAATGTTGTAGACAATACGTACTGAGAAAAAGAACGTTCAAAAAGAAAAGCTAACTTCCAAAATGTTTGTCTTTTTTGGTACGGTTGTCACAATGGGTAATTAAATAAAATAAACGAACCATTTGTTAGTTTTATTATTCAGTATGATGGAATATAAACGAACTACAGTTACCTTGCTAATTACAAATTGATAATTTTTATTCACTGATTAAGATACTTACACGAAATGTTAAATGACTACTATACAAGAGTGTAAACTATACTCAAATCAGTAAAGTCCGAGAAAAGCGCTCACAAACTCATAGACAAACTAATAAAATTCTAACAATCATTGTTGTACAACATTGGAAATGGTTGTTCTCCACTCGAGGGCCTCGCTGGAAACAAATCGCTCACAACCGCC